TAAGTTTTTTTCTTACTTTTTTTTATTTACTTGCATTATGGTTTCCTGTGCTTACCACGTTGCATTGACCAGATTTAAAGGATGGCTTTTTTCCTTTGAGGTTCACCGAGGACTTACTGTCTTAGGTAGACTGCAGACCGCTTCCTCAAATTTGCTGAAATGCGTTTAAGTTAAATTCTGTAATGCAGGTGCTACTTACTGTGAAAGTTAAAGTTTTAAAGGTGGTGATGAAGAGTGAGCCAAAAACGTTACGACTAAAATTAGCCGAGGCATAATCTTGTCATGACTCCTACATTTGCATTTTCTGCTAGCGACCTTAATAATTTATAATTTTTTTGTAAAGTTTTGACAAATTTTATGATTTCTGCTGCCTTGCAGTGGCACAACATCTGTACTTCCACGTCAGTATATCTTCTAAATAAGGATAGAAAGATGAATATCAAAAATCTATTTTTTTTTTTCTGTTCGCTACATCTTGTTATTGTCCGCTTGTGTATTTTCGCACTGTTGTTGTTATAGTTTAAAATATTCTGTTGTTTATGTGTATATTTGGTTGTATAGCAGTTTATCTTATCAAGTAATTACGCAGGTCCAACGTGTCAGAAGAAGTAAAGAGACCAGGGCAATAATTCAACAACGAAGTTTCCGAGTTAAGCAGCGCAGAAGTTTATTAAAAAAGGGTTACTTTCTGCAGTTACAGTCGGACATATCAGATAAACTGGTGAAACAAAAACTGTATGAAAATCAACCACAGAGTAAAAAAAATGAAGCAGTAAACTGTGCCTAAACTCGTCAATTATCCAATCACATTATGATATGTGCTGTAGTTTCTGCATCTTGATGAGAACAGACCATTTTTTTGTCATGTGGGGATGTATCGTTTACCTGAAGGTGTCATAGAATGATTGTGCTACGCTTTGTAAGACCTGTCACCGTAAAATGAAGGTCATAATTAAGAAGCTGAGGGAAGTGTTCCAAGCAGCGGTGAGTCGAAAAACTTCTTACTCGTAACGTTGCCAAGTTGTGTACTGCAGTTTCGATAATACGAGAAAGCTTTTGTAATTGAACGCCAAGATTCTCCTCAGTCCTTCTCTTGTAAACTAAAAGATTGTATTTCAGCAGGTCTTAGAAACAGGATTTATTTTAGAGTGGGAAAAAGGAATGATAAATTTCTGGCAAACTGGTCAAAAGATGCAAATGAGATTTTGGACTTGCATTCATGGCTTTATCTAATCGGAAAATCTATCTTTTCCAATAACTTTGCAATAATAAACAAAGTTTAGGTCTTTTTCTGGGTGTGTGACACTTAAAGTGTGCATTGAGAGCCTTTACTGTGAACTAGGCAGCATGAAAGAATATCGACATTAGACATCCAGGAGTTCAAAAATCACTGAAAATCCAGAATGTTGCAAGGCAACCGGGATGGTATTCTTCAGTGCTCTTCTTTTAAACTGTAACGTTTGAGATTAAGCTGTTAGTTGGCATATCCTGTTAATAATTTTCAGAACCTTTTCAAATTTGTGTCGTAACTAATATTCCATTCTAAACTTTACTTTCGGCTTCTTATATTTTCTTCCATCAAACCTGAATCTTTAACCTACGCTATTTCCTTACGCTTAGGTCCGGATCAAAGCCATTAAGTAACCATAAAAGCTTTCTTCTTTTGAAAAAATTTTTTGCTCATATGGTCGACTTCTTTTTTTTATCGGTATTTGTGCTTTTCCAACTGTTATAAATTGCTCAAATTTTATTATTTTTATTCTTTCCTCGTGCTCTATTAAATTATTCATTTTGCTGTCTAAACTGGAAATAAACGAGGTATAAAAATAAATGTATGAATATAAACGTTCAAAAAAAGCCAGACATGATCAAATAATTACTAACTAACTACTAGCCAGACAAATCAGAGTTTTTTGATGCAAACCACTCGGCTAATCCCAACTGTCGACATTGCCGGCGCAAGTTCACCAAATTTCCGTTTTTTTACATGGCACATTTTACTTCAATATGAAGGGACTTGACGATCACAGAAGTTGCCCTGCATAGCAGATATATAGGAGTATGACTGCAAAAAATATATAATCTTAAGCTAAGTAAAACTTGAAAGGCTGCATATAGCCTTTAGCAACTGTACTTGCCAGATTATGTATTGCTACGACATACTCCCAGTGGAAAATGACTAATGGAAAACTAGTGGGAGGATACTAACAACAGGTAGTGAAAATCGATGAAAATTAATTTAATAATAGAAAAAAATAAAAAAAAATCTATGTCTACTGCAGTTTGTGAAGGGAACTATACAAAATTAGTTGTATGGACAGAACAAAAGAAATTTTTTGAATGAAAAGGCCAGAATGTTTACTCGACTGGATTTCAGTCAACAAATATTGTTTTAACATTCTTTTCAGTGCCGTTCATCTTATCCTTTGTTAGTTCAACATAATTTTTGAATACCAAAAAACTTGCACGTTTCTAAACTTGAAGGTTTTTGGCTGGTTATATCGGCAACATGCAGCTTAGCACTGGCCGAATAAAACGATTAGATCTTGGAGTAAAAGAGCGGTATATAAAACTGTAAATGAGTGGCATATCCATAATAATTTACTGTCTATAATTTTATAGAAGCCCAAAACTCAGTTTTACCAATCCATCGAATTTGATCCCTTCTCGTTAACTGAAATACTAAGTGTCCGTTAGTGTGTTCGTTAGTGTGTTAGTGTTGCGTATTTTTGCGACCAGTTGGGTACTTCAGCTGTCGAAGAGGAATATAGGGCTGCAACGATTAACAGCGTTTTGAATGTGTTTTTTCGCAACGATAAGAAGTATTTAATAGAGATGTGGATGCAGGCTAATATGCGCACACAATTAGTATATTCTCAAGTTCTCTGTGCATAGGTGACTTTTGCATTTTGTTTCTAGTCGATGTTTTAGTAACAGATGTTTGCAACTTTGCATTCACATGAGGCAGCATTCAAGATTTGTGTGTATAACGCCATCTCATCAATAAATTTATGTTAAAATGCACATAACAAAAAAAATTTTTTTTTTTTTTGAGATTTGTAACGAATGTGAGTTTTCAAAATTTTTCGGTTACGTGGTCTAAAGTTGTTAATACTTTGCACTGGGCGTTATACCCGTATGTGGTATTTCTTTATTTTTTGATTTTTTTCTTTATTATATATGCATTTGTCTTGACGAGTCATGCATATGCTGCCTCATCCTCTTCAACTGTATCATTATCGGAAAACGGGGGTATTTATATGTACACATTTTTTGAGTTTGTACGGAGTATTCTAAAGAAAAAAACATTTGCTCTTGTTTCGTCTTCTTTTATTGGTTTTCTTGTGGTGTATATTAGATATCAATTTTTACAGATATGCGTGCTATTTTGGCGTGAAAATACCTAACGGATTCACACATTGATTCGTCCACAGAGTAAGATTTTCGTCTGGTATTGGTTTACCAACTACCAATTTTTACAACTATCATTGTCATTATTTAAACTGAAAATTGTATAAACTGATTGACTTGAGGTTTTAATTGTAAGGACAGACTAAGTTGGCTGAGGGACTGAGATTTTTAATTCATAAGATGACTTTAATTTTTTATTGTTAAGGCCAGCCCTACCAACGCAGAGGTGAAGAAGCGAATTAAATAACAGTTGGCTGAAGGGCTGTTTCTAATGCAATAAATACAAATAATAAATAAATATATATATCCAGATATTTTTCTTTAGTTTTAAGTGTTTAGAGACTCATTGTTATAGTTGTCGTATATTTTCTTGTCACATTTGACGTATTTTATTTGAATGAGACCGCTTTTACTGGTTCACCTCTAAGAACTGTAGATGACTGCAAACCCAGCTGCTTACAAAGATCTCACTGCTTCTCATTTTTATTTCTCTCACTTCTGTAGTTTGCAAGATTACTTGCAAGTTCACTTAAAAAGTATCGCGACAAAGTTGTTATCGTTCTGCTGTTTGTGGTTTTAAGGCTGTTGCGAACGGTGAAGTGTTCGCAGAGTCAGAAGAACGCAAAGTTTTTATTTTTGGAAGCTTTTTTGGAATCCGCGTTTTTTAATTTAGTAATGTCCAAAATTTAGCGTCAGTGAGAGAATAGATATTAATGATCATTAGTTACTTGGTTATATAATTTTATAGGTAGGGAAAACATTGGGAAAGTGAGCTTTTGCTTAAAAGTACTTTCAATTTCTTTAGTGAACAAACACTGAATTTATTTCATACTGCTAGCAGTGGGAAGCAGTTAAAAATTCTACTGTTCAAAATTAAGTTGGAAAATAGGTGGCAGTAGTATCTTACGTCGTAGAGATTAGAAGCAAGTTTTTCTAGAACAAATTATGAGCGAAGTTATTTGTTTCAGCGAAGTCACTTTTACATCTTGGTTGAACAGATACATTTTCAGTATCAACTGGTTGACTTCCGGTTATTGAGGGGGCTGTTAAGGAATATTATTTGATCATTTACAGTAGTACTATTTTGCTTAACTTTTGAAACTTACATCTTTTTGTAAAAATTTTTTTCTTTTTATTTATGGATGCTATTGATAATATTTCCTTAATTTATTATTATGTGTACCTTTCATTCACTTGATTTTGCAGAACTTCAGGGATGGAGTTGTCTGCAGAAATTCTCCAGTTGCCAGTTAAAGCTTCTGGTCAGCACAACATGACACCTGAAGAATTATGCTGCAATGACGACTATGCTACTAGCGCGATCGTAGATCCCATCCTTGGTTTTAAAACTCATAAAATGAACTTGAAGTAATTTTGGGACCGTCTGTTTCATTCGTTTTTATTTAGACTGCTCTTACCTGTTTGCTTGATAAAGACTTTAAATAATTTGGTTTCCTGACTCTACATTTTTCTGGAATTTTTTGAGGTTATTTACTTTTTAGTTTTAAAAACCCATCAAAAAGGGAACATTTTCAATTTCGATCTATAATGAGAAAATATATGGAAAATCAAAATCGTTCTTCTGCCATATCTGGTTTGCTTCATGTTCGATGCATCAGGACATATCTTTCAACTCTCTCTTTACAGCAACAAATCAGTTTTAGGGACCATGTAAGTTTTTCTTATAAATTGGTTAAACATTAGCTTATTAGTAAAATTTGACTTCCAGAAATTAATATTTGCTTGCTTTAGTTCACTTG